ATTAACATCTACTGATGAACCGCATCTAAATTATTCCACCAGAGGTTGCAGAATGATAATTTTCTAGTTTTTTATTGTTCATTCTAAATGAATTTGCTGGCATTTTTCTGTAAACAATAATTTTCCCTCATCAGCATGGGGCTGACTTACAGTTTTAGCCCAAAAAATGCAGAGTGAATGCCTCTTTGTCTTTAAATATCAATTTCCATATTAACATCTTGATATGTAGTTGCTTGTGATTTTCAATTAGCTCTCTTACTCTACCCTTGCCTTTTTAGTTTAACCCTATGTATAATATTCTGTCACCAATTTCAGTCATTATTCTATCGGATGCTTAAATTGAAGAGGCACTTCCTGCTTCTGGGGTTGATTGAGATTTCAGCTTCAGCAACTCAGACTGAAGGACAAGAAGACAGCTTGTCCAAAAGGAAAAATGGACAAGATGAGAGTTTGTTAAAAAACAAGTGATCTTATTACTAGTAATGTTGGCTGATATACAGAAAATGCAGACAGCTGTTAGTATTGAAGGCTGAGAGAAAAATCACTGAAAAGGTATATATAATAATAATAAAAACGGTATTTCATATTAAAGACCAAGTCCAATAAAGTATCATACTTAAATTAAAAATCATGATAAACTGCCCTTTAAAAAACAGAAAAAATATTTATAAATATAAGTATTCTAGAGATTTGGGTAAGGGAAGGATACTAAGTTTGTCTATAAATAAAATGTAAAATTATCATAGTTATTAGAAGTAAAAAGTAGTGGCAACATCTTTCAAAAGTAAAATTACAAGGCAACTAAGATTACACAATAAGCAAGTAGTTAATAGTCTTTACCTGGTGTGGGGCTATAGAGTAATGCACTTGATTGCAAGGTCAGTTTGAACCCAAGGTCAACAGTGCAAACCCACCAGTTGCTGCTTGGAAACCCTATACAGGGTTGCTATAAATTGGAACTGACTCGACGGCACTTAACAACAACAACAATTGTCTTTACTAAGTCAGAAGTATTTTGTGTTCCACGGGAATTTCTTATTTTCAGGAATTTAGCAGACAGTCTGAATATGTGCGATTTTTTGCCAATGATGAAAGCAAGCTGAATAAAATGAAAAAATTAAGACAAGAGCCACTGAGAAATAAAACAATGCTTTAATTTTATTTGTTTAAAACAATATTTGCAACTATACATTTGAAGAAAATAAACAACAAGAAGTCATCCTCAGTTACTTTTTTTGGAGGCAGGCAAGCATGGTCCTGCCAACACAGAGAATCGCACACACCTGATGCTCATGCAAGTATATTACTTCATGAAGGCAAGGCACAAAACATACTGAAATCACATCAGAAATGCTCCATTTGGTTTTGTAGCATAAGAATTTGAACACATGATTAATGCACTCGAGGACTGATGCCATGAACATAAGCCACATCATAAGTTTCCTTTAGGAAAAAAATAGAATCTTTTCCTCAAATACAATGGTCACAAGTATGATCCATAAGGATTTTATTCAATATTTAATCTTCTGGCGACAGGATTTTTTTGAAGTGGAATCTAGGTATAAATAAAATTATATAGCAATTTTGTTAGAAAGCTTCACATATCTTTTAAATACAACTTTACAATTCTTGAATGCTAAAGTTCACCTTGATTTTGGTAATAATATGAATTACAATTAAAACATATCATGATTCAAATTATGAATGTTAAGAAAACACTCAACTACTATTCTAGCTGAAACATCATCTTTCTGTTCCCTACCTGTGTCAAGTGTAAGAGCAAAGAGTCCCAGTTGGTCATTCAGTCATGAGAAACCAATCCTAACACAACTAGTTTTCACATTTCAAAAGATTATCTTGATTTATAATTGTTCTTCTAACACTATTAATGATAGTCAATTATTAAAACTAAAACTAACAACTATTAAGTTCAATGTAGAGAAACTAGTTGCAGGGAATATAAAGGAACTAGTTGCATGTTGGAGTAAAGCTCAAGATGGAAGCAACCCCTTGTCCCTTCAGGATCTGATAGAGAAAGTTGTCATCCTACTAAAAGCAGTACAACTCAGTCAACCATGGGCACTAATGCAGTAAGGGTACTTCTGGCTGAGAGGATGAGCCAATATGCCAATCTGCTAGCAGCTCAGGGCAGTATTGCTGCAGCCCTGGCTTTTCTTCCTGAAAACACCAACCAGGCAAACATTGTGCAGCTTCGTGGCAGACTTTGTAGAGCACAAGGAGAGCCTGTACACGAAACATCCAGAAATCCTTATTGAGAAGCAACAGCTGCTCAAGGGCAGGTCTGGGCCAACGCTGGCCACATACAGATGCCAAGCAAGAGTTCCAATTCACCAATATTATCCTCATGGAGAAAATCCTCCACCTCCAGGTTTTGTAATGCATGGAAATGTCCATCCAAATGCTGCTGCTCAGCTGCCCATATCTCCAGGTCATATATGCACACCCAGGTACCACCTTATCCACAGCCACAGCCTTATCAACCAGTCCAGCAGTATTCATTCGGAACAGGAGGTTCAGCAATATGTTGCTCCTCCTGCTTCAAACACTTACCCTAACACCCCTTACGTATCCTCTGCTTCTTCTTATTCTGGGCAGTCTCAACTATATGCACAGCACCAGACCTCTCAACCTACCTCCAGCCCTGCTGATTCTTTCCCTCCTCCCCCTTCCTCTGGAGCATCCTTCCAGCATGGTGGACCAGGAGCGCCACCATTGTCTTCAGCTTATGCATTGCCTCCTGAAACAACAGGTCCTCTAAATGGTTGGAATGATCCTCCAGCTTTCAACAGAGTACCCAATAAAAAGAAGATGCCTGAAAATTTTATGCCTCCTGTTCCCATCACATCACCAATCACGAACCCTTTGAGTGACTCCCAGTCAGAAATGCTGCAGCAACAACCTTCAGCTCCAATACCGCTGTCAAACCAAACTACATTCCCACAGCCACATCTTTCAGAGGGCCAACCCTTTCACAACATATAGCAATGCCTTGGTCAACCAGGCATGCCACCATCTTTTTCAAAGCCCAATATTGAAGGTGCCCCAGGGGCTCCTATTGAAAATACCATCCAGCATGTATAATCTTTGCCAACAGAGAAAATTAGCAAGAAACCCATTCCAGATGAGCACCTCATTCTAAAGACCACATCTGAAGACCTTATTCAGCACTGCCTCTCTTCAGCCACAAACCAAGAGGAAGCTGGATGAAACCAACAAAAGTTTTGAGTTTCTATATGATAAACTTAGGGAGCAGACGCCATCACCAACTATCATCAATGGTTTATACAACATTGCAAGGAGCACTGAAACGTGAAACTACCCAGAAGGATTGACCATCCATACCCACATAGTCAGCACCAGCAGCTTCAGTGAGACTTCTGCTTTCATGCCTGTTCCCAAAGTTGTTCTCACCCAAGCTAATAAGCTGGGTGTCTAGAAAGATAACTTTACTTTCTACCAATATTGCCACTTTCCAAAGAAACATATTTTAAAAAATGATGATACAGACCAAGTATCAGCCCTCACTAGGATGTTTCCATAGCAGTCAGTCAAATAGTATTTATACTATTTCTGCTGATATATTCACCTTATATCTGCAGCTGTCCAAGACCCTATTTGTTGTTGTTGTTGTTTTAATCTTCTGTGGCCCATAATGATATTCCTATTCTGAAAGATTTCTACATTATTTCCTATTTCTACGTATAGTTATAATATTTTTAAAAAGTGAAGAATTTTTATTACCTTGTGGTATCCCCCCTAGTCTTTGCTGGATCATTTCCAAATGGTGAATATATTCTGTTAAGGAGTGTTCCGGATCTTGAGAAGTATCCAGGGACTTTTCTGATCTTGAATTTGGAGATGGAGTGGACCTTCAAATAAACCACCATATCAAGAAACAACAAAAGAGTTTAATTTATCAAACAGCAACATGGCAAGTGAGCTAAATATAATGCAGGAAGAACAAGGGAGTTTGCTGACCCAGACGCAGTGTAAGAAAAGGATTAACCATTTATTTTTTTTCATATCCTTTCATTACCTCAAAAAAAAAAAAAAATCATACAGTGTTTCATAAAGGGCCACATACTGCTTTTAAAACCAACTTCTACACAATTTATGTCTCAGAGTTAAAATAAGTAAAAACTAATGCACAAATGAGTACGTTACTTTTAATTACTCAATTTTTATGTATAATTATGTACGTATCTTTCACCCAAACTGGCTTATTTACCAGCATCTTCAGATGCTACTACTCTGTGCTGTGAGGGGCAGCCCAAGCACCTACTTGTCTTTCCTTAGGATAAAACCTACAACCATCCAAGTCCCCAGCTCAGCTATCCTTCCTCTCATGTTCTGCAAGCCACAGTGAACACTACCATTCTTCTCACCTTCTAACTAGCAAGCTTCTTGATCTCTTCAGGGCAGGGACCATTCTCTTACTCATCTGTACTATCCTACAAAGTTGCCCCATACAAAAGAGGCCCTCAGCGATTGATGATACTTCAATAAGTACTACCCAATCAAGAAGCCACCAAATGGACAAACCCCCACTGAGCAGAATCAGGCTTCTAGGCCCCTCATCCACTCACAGTGAATTGTTCCCTGCCTTGCTTGGGGCTAACAAAAGCCAGACTTCCAAATTACATTTCTGAGGCCCTACATAAACTGATGGGAAATCATAAGCAGCGCTTATCAAAAGCCACATGTACAATGAGCTGGAAAAACCAGCAGGCCTAAAGGTGAACACTAATCTGTGTCATTTTGTCAAGTCAGTGACCTCTTGTGATCTGCCACATGACAGTGCCATTAACCCTTGTAAGTACTGTTTCTCCTGCCAAAGCAATGAAACTAAGAGACGTTGCTAATTACATAATGCAGCTTGTACAGACAGTCACAAGTACAGAAGCCCCTAGGGGCAATGCTGGCCTAATGACATAACTGAAGGACTTGTCTTGCTATCATAAGAATAATACCTGCTCAATTCAGAACACTGGGAAAACACATAGAAAAATACAATGCAGACATGTATACATCTAAGTATTAACAAAGACACAGGTCAAGCTTTTCTATATGCCTTAAAGATATTTCCATATAATGGAGAAGTCACAGGTAAAACAATTAAATGGCTCACAATCTTCCTCATTCTAGCATGCAAGCAAGAAATGGAATGGAAATCACGTCTTTTGTAATTAGCACTGGGATCAGAGCTCCATGGCTAAGGACAATGTAGTCTTTGTGAGGCTGCTGCCCTCTTGGAACAGGTGCACCCACCTTGCATCATGTCCCCATATGAGTCTCAGACTGGAATCAGTGCACACTAACCACCTAGAAACTACCACAGGGCATTGGGGAAAACTTTTTTAAGTTTAATTTTTTTTTTTAAATTACATTTCACAATCTAAACAACCACAAGTCCCATTGATTACTGTTTTATAATAGAGAACTAAAATAATTGTGGATGTTTAACAAGGTCATTGTAATGCCACAACTGCCAACTGAATCACTAATATAAAGACAGATGTGTGTGAAAAATGCAACTATTACAGAAAACTTAAAGCCAAGCAAGGGCTTCTGGGAGCAGCCTAGCCTGGGGTCCCCCAGATACAAGTCTGTGCAATTTCTGCCCCTTGAGACCGGATTTCACCTATAGCTACAACTTAAAACAAGAGGCTAACATCTTGTCTTGCTCTTATAATGGATAAAGATCCTGGAGCATTCCAACTGACCTTCCCCTCCTGCGTGGTGATGATGTTGGCATGGACCCAGCACCGTGAACAGGATCTCTGATGAGGCGGGAAGAAGCATCCCGGGTTGGAGGAGACCTTCTGGTTTCAGGGAGAGGTGGCTGCCTTCGGGACAATGGTGCTTCTTCCCCCAGAATTACAGCATATGCAGCAGGAACCAGGAAAGAAACAGTATATTTTAATATGAACACTTGCCCACATGTCTCTTAATTCACTCCTATGTGGTGCTATGTGCTAATAAGCTGAACTGCAAGGTCAGCAGTTCAAGCTCACCAGTCACTCCTTGGAAACGCTATACAGTGTTGCTATGAGTCGAAACCGACTCCACGGCACTTAACAACAACAACGAAGCTACTGGGAAGGAGGGGCTGGAGTAAACAAGGGCAGGGAAGGGGAGATGAGTGCCAGGCAAGATATGGGTAAGGTGCTGCCTCCACCTAGCTTAGGAAGAGGGCAAGCAGAAACCCGAGAAACCACCAGGTATGGCCTGTGAGGCTGAATCCAAGTACTTTAGTTTCAAGAAATAAAGTGCATCCCTGATGTGGAAGGGCAATCACCCGGGAACCTGCCTCCAACCCCCTCTTTTATTGTTGTGAGAACACAGGAACACAGCAGCAGAGAACCAAAGGGTGAGCATTCTGTGCTAGTCTCTCCATACTTCAACAGCAGCACCAAGACTATACAGATGTAGTCAGGCTGGCTCCCAGTCACTGCACAGTTCTGTCTCCTTCAGGCTAGCCACCAATGTTGGGACACTTTAGTTCAGGAGAGCTTCCCATTTTAAGACTGACTTTGACTTACAGGTAGCCACATGCAAGTACACAGACATTGAGCAGAGGCACACCATTCTGTACCACAGCAAGTGACCACAGCACCAATCAAGAAACCATGAAAATGCTACTGAGCAGTGAGGCCTGACTAAGCCAAAAGCAACCACTGCTGCCCTAGAGGGAAAGCTGCAGCACTATGAAGCAGAATATGACCTTTTTCATTGTCTCAAACCTTCACTTGGTTTGAGGGAATGAAAAAGGTCATATTATTAAAAATTATAGAGTTGACATACTTAGTATTTCCATATTTTTTAACCATTAGTCTGCTCTTCTCAAACATTTTTGTTCATACATGTATAAGCCACAGTCATATTTCTGATTACTCACAACATAATTTTCACCTGCCTTGTCTGGCAATATCAACAGAATTTTCTACGGAGCCTTATTCTTTTCCTTCTTATCATTGAAAAAGGACCATGATGTTAACAAATACACTACCACAATTGGGAGAGAAATTTATAACATGCAGTTGTTAACAACCCATGTCATACCTGGGTGGAGAGCTTTGCCTTGTGGTAAAGCTCCTTTTCGATCCACTTCTTGCCATTTCTTAACCAAGAAACGTAATCTATAAGAGAAACACATTTAAGATTAGAGTAAAACAGGAATGAAAGGAGCAATGAAAACCCTTTGTGAAAAAATAACCCACAGGGACAGAAATCATCCAATCCGCGAGGTCAGCGAGCTTGGCAAGAGTTTACAGATGGCTCAGTGTGCACTGAGTCCTCACTGCTCTTGGCAACATCCTCAGGCAGAAAGTATGGAGTCTAGGTACACTCTGCCACCTCTGCTCACCCCCGCCTTCTCCCAACAAATGCAGAAAACCTCAGGAATGGTTTCTCTATGAACTACATGGAGCATATATGCAGCTGCATCATCCTTGGTGAGAAAAACACTTTTAGAAATCCAGTAAATTTAAAAATGAAATGTATTTTTACCACTGCAAAGTTAAAAGAGATCAAATTCCTAACACACTAGGGAGCACTCCTCAGAAGAGAATGGGACCCATAAGCCACATTTGCAAGTTGAAGACGGATGATAGTAGCTTATTCAGTTACATATTTGCATGCACCTGAGTGACACAAAAAGGATAAAGAAATCTGAATGCCTAAGATTCATGTTGGATAACATGAAGATGGGTAACATAAGAATTACTGGCATTCCGGAACAGGAAGAATCACACAAGTCCACGGAGGAGTTAGTTGAAGAGCTTCTGGAAGAAAATTTTCCTAACATCCTGAAAAGTGAAAAGATGAACATTCAAGAAGGTCAACGAACCCCTGGAAAAATAGACCCAAAAAGACAATCTCCAAGGCATGTAATAATCAAGACCTCCAAAATCAAAGATAATGAGACAATCCTGAAAGCAGCTAGGGAAAAGAGAAGTGTAACATACAAAGGTAAGCAAATCAGATTAAGCTCGGATCTCTCAAAAGAAACCATGCAGGTAAGAAGGCAATGGGGTGACATATATAAAATCCTGAAAGAAAAAAAACTGCCAACCGAATGGGGGAAAGGGAGGAATAATGTTAAGATGCTTGGCTGTCTTTTGAATTTTGGTTTTCCTTGCATTATATTATAAAATAGACACTGGAGGGGGAGAG